CAAAAGGATTGCAACCATGCACACACTAGAAATACTATGTTCTTAGTTCAGTTCAATTCAATTCATTTTATTTAGCTCCAAATCGCAGCAACAGTCACATCAAGGCGCTTCATACTAAAAGGTAAAAGAGTAAAAGAGAGAAAACCGCAACAATCAGATGACCCCACGTGAGCAAGCATATGGTGACAGTGGGAAGGAAAAACTCCCTTTTAACAGGAAAAAACTTGCAGCAGAACCAGGAGAGGCAGCCATCAGCTGCAACCGGTTAGGGGTGAGGAGAGGGAGACACAGCAAAAGACACACTGTGTAAGAGAGCCAGGGATGAATAATAACTAATGATTAAATGCAAAGTGGTGAAAAACCACAGACAGTGAAAAGAGGTGAAGAAGAAACACTCAGTGCACTATGGGAAGAGCCCAGCAGCTTAGCCCTAAATGCAGGGTAACTAAGAGAGGATTCTGGGTCACCTGATCCAGCCCTAACTATAACCTTTATCAGAAAGTATAGTTTTGAGCCTTATTGTAAAAGCAGAGAGAGTGCCTCTCTCCAGTATCCAAACTGGGAGCTGGTTCCACAGAAAAGGGGCCTGAAAGCTGGAGTCTCCAATTTTAAAATTGAACCTACTCTCTGACCTTTAAAGGACATATAAACTTGTGTCAGTCCTACCTGGTGATATGCAGAGAGCGCATTATGCATTTCTGCAACCTCCTCACTGGAAATTTCTTTTATAACCAAAGTGCGGTCGTACGACGTCAGCAGCAGGCCCGCATATTTCCCTTCGTCGTGTCTGAGAGGAGGACTCCGAGCCAGAGAAACCTGCCGGTGAGTGAGAGAACAGCATCATGAGATCAGAAGGAGAAGCCTCCTGCCCTGGGAAACCTTTCACATTTTAAAGTGTTGAAACAAATGCAAATATCTTACATATACCAGAAATGTAATGCTGCGCAGCATCGGACCATAAAAAGCTTTGTTTTAACATGCTTCTTGCATTGCTCTGAATGCAGGTCTGCAGTAAGCTAATGTGACTTTTATCAGCAACAATATGTTTCCCGTAATTGTGTGCTAAGCAAATGTGCACTTCCCAGACTGGAGGATGGCTGTGTGCCACCTGGCGCATGCAAAATACGACACAAAGAAATGCAAATGTAGAAGCGAGCAGATCAATACGCACATAAAAGTTCATGGTTTCGATCAAAGGAAAACACACAGAGCCTTGGATGTTCTCTGCTTGTGCGAGTCTATGTTTTTTTCTAATGGCCTCTACATTTTTGTGAAACGATAGATTTTTATCCATATTTCTATTTTAGTGCACAATGAAACGCAGACTTGCTGTGAATCATACCTGGAAATCTTGATCCTCAATGCCAAAGCGCTCTCGCAGGTTTCTGAACACTTGAGGACAGTACTCTTTGAATTTAAACTGTCCTGGAAGAGTCTCCCTGAGGAATAATAACAATAACGCATAGATTTAGTGTGCAGCAACACTTTACAAAAGATCTATGCTCGTGACTATTAGCTGACTGAATTATATTAGGGATCCTGCTGCTTAACAGCTTCCAGATCAAAACAAGTTCAGAGAAATCTCACTACAGTAACGGCACTTTAACCTTGGGAAAATATTTTATTGGTCCTCAAACCTCTGTTCATAAGTCTTTACTGAACCCGGATTCCTGAATGGATTAAAGGATTATTGAAAGCCTTTCACTTTTCTAGACTCAGTGCTTATAGAAACTGAACCTAACAACAGACACTGTATAGGACAGCTTTTATAAATGATTATTATACTGTAGCACACTCTGACTGACACTCTTCCACCACTATTTCAGATAAATCCATCAAGCTAACCTTTTTTTGCCTTTTAAATTATGTTGCACAGCAAGTAAAAAAAAAACACAAGTTAATGCTGCACTTCTAACTTTAGCCCATAACATCATTCTTTCTCTTTCGAGACAATATTGCACTGCGCTCATTACTGTAGCTATAGTGTTGGTGAAGAAAAACACCGTTGCTCTCTAAAGGGGTCTGGATATTCTGATAAGCAGAGACAATAACACCGAGAAATAAATCCTGAGAGGAACAAAAATCTGTGCAGTTTACAGGAAGCAAAACGAGGCTCCTGCAATCATGCAGACAGAGCTGAGTAGAGCCTATGAGCAGAGCACAGTACTTATTGAAGAGGTGGTTGTTGACTTTGATCTTGGTGCTGGCTTTGAAGTCGTCTGGGAGCAGCATGACAGGTACGGGCACCTGGCTCAGGTCATTAATCTGCGCATGATCAGTGGATAAATAGTTAATAATGAACATTTTCATACCCAGGCAGACAGAAGTGCACATTAAACGGCCTTATAGCTACCGAATGATTGACTCCCCACATCAGCACGCTCAACACGGGGTCACTGGCTCGGAAAACCTTCACTTTCTGTTGAACAAAGTGTTTCTTCTTCGTCTTCCTTTTTGGCGCCAGAGTGTTCAGAGGGTTGGAGGTAGCACTGGGAGAAGACATTTTCAGGCAGGTATCCGCGTCTCCGTCTGTGGACAGGCGTTTTGTTGTCTCTGTATGTAAAGTAGGCTAAAGTCCGCCCTGCAGCAGCCTATTAGCGCTTTGATCCAACACCCTGCGAGCCCAGCGCCTTTTGGTCCTTCAGTCCAGCAACGAACAGGTGCAGAGCCTCCCCCAACACGGGCTGAGCCTTCATCATCTTATTTTGTGGCTCCTTTTTAAGCTTTGTTAATTTGACATGCTGTCACATTAATGATCATTTTCGTGCAGGCTTGCTTACAGGCAGAACTGCAGTAATTACATCTAAATTACCAGTGCTGTACGATTCTGCAAAGTTTGGTATCCATCCGATACCAAGTAAATAAAGGGCTAGTATTGCCGATACCAATGTCGATACTGAAACTTTTAACTTGTATCTAGGGGAGAGAAGTGTATTTTTTAATGTGGTTTCTTCTGGAGACCTGGAATCTATAGAAACAAAGTATCCATCATATTCTGCTGGCCCACCTCTATTATTACAGCTCTTAGTGGTGATTTGTTAATTATAGTTAATTTCATAATTATAATTATATATATGTATATATATATTTGTGGTTATTATATATTAATATTTATATATATATATATATATATATTATATAATATATATATTATATATAAATTTAGTATATTTGTTTGTTTGTTTGTGACCTTTAAAATGTAGCAAATTTATGTTTATAATAGCACATGCTGTGAGGGAAATGTGTTTTGTTTCCATTTACTTAAATAATTTTAAATTGCATCAGTTTTTTGTTTGTTTGTTTTTTTTATTCAAAAATACTCTAAAGAAGAATATATGCATTTTGTATTCACGTGTTGATGTCATTCATCTATCTTACTCAGTGCGGTGTGGTCAGGCTCATCAGAATATTTTATCATAAATAAATATAATAGTGAGAAACTGATGTAGAATTCAGTGGGTCATGCTGAGCCTGTGCCACTTTGTTAGATACACCTGTACGTGTAAATATGTCATGGCATTACCATGGCATTTGAGCGTGTAGACATGGCCTGTATGACCTGCAGAAGTTCAAACTGAGCAGAATGGGGAAGAAAGATGATTTAAGGGACTTGAACATTTGCATGGTTGCTGGTGCTGGACAGGCTAGTCTGGTTATTTCAGAAGCTGCTGATCTACTGATATTTTCCCAAACAAGGTTTACAGAGAATAGTTTTGAATGGCTGTTATCTGGGTGAAAATGCTTTATCTACTTCAGAGGTCAGAGGAGAATGGCCATACTCCCTTTAGGACGTCAGGGCAGATGGCATGGATACCCAACTTTGTGAACACGATAACTCGAGAACGAAGTGATGGTACTTTCAGATTGGTACAATATGTGGGTCTACTAAAAATCTTGGACAAGTTTGAATATTAGTGACCTCAGCTTCAGTGATCTCTGCTGTGACATTCAGGTGATAGTGTCAGAATAAACAACATGAAAGCACGTATCCAAGATGCCGTGGATCAGCACTTCAGGCTGCTGGTGGTGTAATGGTGTAAGGGATATTTTCTTGGCACACTTTAGGCCCATTAGGCCCAATGGAGCATTGTTTAAATGCCACAGTCTGATTAATGTCGCTGACCATGCCCATCCATTTATGACCACAGAGCCATCTTCTGATTCCTGCTTACAGCAGCATAGTGCATCATGTCATTGAACATGACAATGAGTTCACAGTTGCTCAAATGGCCTCCTCCACATTCACCAGATCTGAAGCCAATAGAGCACCTTTGGGATGTTGTGGACCAGGAGAGTTTCATCATGTGCAGCTGACAATTCTGCAAAAACTGTGTGATGCTGTCACATCAATATAGACCAAAATATCTGAGAAATGTTTCCAGCACCTTGTTGAATCTATGCCTTACAGAATTAAGGCAGTCCTGAACTCAAAAGGGGACCCAACCCAGTACCAAAGAAGTGTACCTAATAAAGTGGCCAGTTTGTGTGGATGATATTATTTGAACTGCATAAGAGGTTAAATGTTGGTTTGTGATGAACAATTTTTAAGTAAATTAATTATCTTGATAGTAGGTATACTTAAAGTGCTCATGATGCACATGCAGAAGTGCCCTGTTCACAGTCATATACACTGTCTCATTCATGCATGAGCATTGTGGGGCCAGTGCAACCCTATGCTTCCTGCTTGGTTGTTAACCACTAAGACTTGTAACACAGTACTTTCTGGTGCAAATTACAGTGGGAGCTGTAATTTTTACACTTCACAAAACCACCAGGTGGACCGTATTGGACCATTCCACGGGCCAGTTCGGGCCTCCAGACCACATGTTTGACACCCTTGTTGCAGCAAATCATAATATTCTTTCTATTGTGGTTGCAGGAACCACTAGACTAAAGAGCTGAGACTTCCTGTTTAAAGGGCCAGATAAATTTAAAAACTAAAACATGTTTTATTTTAAAAATCTTTAATATAATAACCAATAAAAATCTTACATTTATTTTTGTAATACTGTGTTTCGCCGTATATCAGTCTTGAAAATTAAAAATGCCCCCAAGTCCTTAATCACTAATGGCGCTATCAGTGTTAACATAAATAGAATATCATATCCAAAGTAACATAAATAGGATTACATGTTGAGATATTTTACAGCATTGATAGTTGTACAATTACAGTGGTTTCAAAGTTTAAAAAAATATGGAAAATATATATAAATACACTGAAAAGATACAAAAACAAATAAAAAAAAAAAGACAGACCATATTTTCTAAACTTATTGTTTGGATTGAGAAATTTATGAAGTTAAATGACCTTAAATAACTGCTTTTGTGGGTTCGACTGGGTGCAAAATGGGGGAAAAAAGACTTTCTTCTGAGCTGATTAGAGAGGAAGAGGAGAAAAAGGGACTAAAAGCTGGCATACACCAGTGTGCAGGACTCATTCCTAATAACAAAGTGTTTCGGGATAAAATTATTTTGTTTTTCTCCACTTTGAGAATATAATTGAACCCACTGAGGCTGATTCCTCAGACACTCACCTAACCAAATTTATTGCTTCTTTAATCAGCCCTGGAGGTTTTAGCTATAATTGGAAAAGAGTTTTTTTCTAGTGATCAGTCAGTCTATAAAATTCTAAACTTGCATTAATAACACGATGTGCCACTGGTGGATGCCGAAAATGTGCCTCTCTATGCTTACATAGATATTCTTTTCAAGAAAAAAAATCATAACTGATTTATGGTTAATCAATCCAATAATCAATAGCTGTCATTTACAATACTTAGAATCAGTTTCATGTTAGGATGAAAACAAATGGGGTTTCCCTTCAAAAGCAAACAGCATTTTTAAATGGCCGCGTGTTATGAGGGTTAACGTGAAAGGACATCAAACCAATAAAGTTTTAATGTGTTCAGCAGAGGGCGCATGGACACTAAAGTTTCACCTGATTGTTAAACAGCCTTGTAATAGCGATGTCCTTCTCTCTGCTGGCGCACAGACACATAAGAGGCACTGTGTTCGGTCCCTTTACTGGTCTGGTGTGCCTTCATCGTAATCTCACACAGGGACTGAAACTTCAGCCTCCTCGTTGCATTTAACAGCTCAGACCACCCTTCTGTTTAGTGTTTGTAGACAGGGGCATGCCGTTCTTGTCAACGCACCAACACTTTCCTCGCCGCCGCCCACCTCGAGATGACCAACACTGCCGAAAACACAACAGACATAGTAAAGAGTTAAATGCAAAGATGTCTGGTCTCTATAGAGTCAATGTGAGATCAGCCCTTTTTCCTATAAATCATCTAATTTGGAGACTCACCTGCTTCTTTCTGAAGAAACCACGCTTGTCACAGTTGGGCATGTAGATATCATGGTTTGACGTAAATAAATGGGCATTAAGACCTTCGATGATTGTCGTTAGCAGCTGACGGCATGGAGCCTGAGAGAAGGAAGAGAGTTAACCAGATATATGTAATGCCTACTTTAATTCACTGTCAGGAATGTGCTCTTTTTGTTTTGTTTTTTAAACATAGATATACAGTACAGGATGAGCGTTTTTACCTCATCTGGATCCTCAGTAGGTGTACTTTCTAGTGTATGAAAGCAAATAAAAACAAACAAGAACATCAGTTTTTAAAATTTTAGCGTTTATGCCATTAAATTGAGGAAGATTTCACACATTTTGAGATCTTTTGCTTGGTAACACATGTTGATTTCTCTAGTCATACTCCAATTTCCATTATAACATGATAATAACCTGAAAAGCAGTGAGTTAAAAGCATTTAACTTTCAAGATAAATGTGATATTTAAGATTGTATCTCAGCCAACAACAGCAAAATAATAATAATAAGTATTCAATTACTCCTAAATCCATAATGTTTCTCTCTCACTGATTAAATCATAGCTTCTCCCAAAAAAGTAAGCTGAAACTTACCAGCAACATGGACCGGTTTAGTCGGGCTGGTGCTACTGGCATTACTGCAGACTCCTCTGCCTTCCAGCAGGGCACGCAGGGGCTTTGGCTCATCGTCTGGAGGTGCACAACGCAGACCGTGGGCGCAGCTCAGAGTGTAGACGCCACACGGCTCTCCAAGAGCCAAAGTTGTGGCATTTACCTCTACAGACGGCTGCCTCTGTGAGTGCTTTCCTCTGCAGGTAGGACATCCTCTGGACGGTGTGGTCAGTGGGCTTGAACAAGCCAGCTGCAGGAGGACCAGCACCAGGATGTTTAAACACAGCAACATCTTACACTAAAAGTTGTCTGCTAATAAATGGTTCCAGTGCAGCCTCGTAGCAGTAATAAACGGTTCCAAGATTCCCTTTTCTAACTCTGTTCCCAGTTTTGGATAATTTGCTCCAGCTGAGAGCAGCAAGTGATAATGCAGCTGACAGACGCCACTGACAGCAGCTTTTAAAGAGGAAAGGTATGGGAGGGATACGTGATGGAGAATGTTAGCTTTCCTCTCATTTCCACACAGCTGAGCACACCCCATTTGACTTGTCTCTGACACATGCACGTGCTCACGCACGCTCATGCCATTTGTTGCCTGTCATGCCACTGGATAGCTATGTTTCCTACATTGACATAAATCACAAGTGATGCTGCGTTTGCTACACCATTGCTCTGCCTTTTCCCCACTTAGAGGATCATTTATCATCGTCATATTTTTACGGAGGTGCTGCTTTATTATGGCCAGTCAATCATGGTAGGGCTAAAAGATGAAAAAGACACTTTATTTTCTGCAGCATAAATTTAGTTTCATTACACCACGGTTTTCAATGGCATTCAAATCTCTAGCAGAATTTAATATTAAAATGATTTGAATATAAAAAAATAAGTAAAAATAGTTAAAACAAGGAATAAATCTGGCTTTATAGCCTCAAAAACACTCCAAATAATAGAAGTTTTTCTCTGTTAACAACAGTAAAAGCATTTTGGCACTCCAACACCTCCAACCTTTTTATTGATATTGTCACTACTTTTTTTTTTAAACGCTATCTGCTAAATCGACAGTGTGTTCTCAGAGTGTGTTTACAGATTCTCAGGGCTGAAGCTGACACTGATTGACACCGGAAGGTTGAAGGAGTGCCGCTGAAGGCAAGATGACTAAGACATCAATAGCCACAAGCTAAAAGTCCCGCCCTGTAAATTCCGCATTTGTGAATCACAAACACATGAAATTAAAGGACAGGATCAAAGTATTTTGCCATAAAATTGATACGTTTAATATCTCATGGTTGCTAGGACTTGTAGGTTTCTGCTTTCATTTTCCCCACCAGAAGCAAACTTACTCTTAAGTTCAGTGTTTATGTCAATTTTTTTCCATGCCGGTTTATACAATTGTAAACCAGCTCGCAAACTGAGGTTCAACTTCATAAGAAGCTGTGAGGGGGATGCAGTGTTTTGCTTGAAATTTCAAAATCAAGAAAATAATCCAAAAAAGAGATAAATAAGGTACTTTCAGCTGCTCCCTTATTTCCCAAAGGGTTGCCAAAGCGGATGGATCCACATGTTTGATTTGGCACGGATTTTATGCCAGAGGAACTTCCTAATACAACCCTCCTATTTATCCAGCCTTGGGACTACTAGGAGCTTTTGAACCCCTGAGGTTCGAATGGATTGGGAATCTTGGTGAATGTGTTGACTATTACACCACAGAGCCACTAATCCACTAGATTAAAATATTAAAATATCTGTTACAAAGTGAAAATGAAATATGTATAACTAAATTCATAAACACGTGGAATAAAAATAAATTCAATTTAAAACTAAGAATTACCAGGGTCCCGGACCCTCTTAGGTACACTCCCAATAGGGCTTAAAAATCTGGGATTCTCCACCAATTGCTCTTAGATCTGAAGAAGCTTCTCAGATGAGAAGTTTCAAGAAACTAAAAGAGGTCCAGATGCTTTTCTTTCCAAGCTCCTTAGACAATAATATATATTGTATTTTGATATATATATATATATATATATATATATATATATATATATATATATATATATATATATATGCATCCAGATTATGTCAACCTTTTTTCCTCATGTCGGTGAATGCAGTCCTAATGGTAACAACATCGTTTTGTATGCTCTAAAACCAATACTTCAGAGTTCGTTCCTAGGAGCAAAATAATTACCTACGTGGTCAAATAAAACAAAACCAGCCATTTATAAAGTAAAACATATATTTTATTTTATTTTTAAAGTATTGTTGAGTCGGTCACGCTACTTCTTTTCTTATCATATGCAAAGAGAGTTGGATGTAGACGTAAAAAACGCAAACTGTAAAATCAAAAGGGGGGAAATAAAAAAAACTACAAACGGCATCGCTGTCTCACGGCACTGCGCAGGTTAAATATTTCTCTCCGTATTCATCCTCACGTTTGATTGGTCGAGGAGGCGGGACTTCCGACAGCGCTGGCTTGGCATAAAGTGGTATAGTTCACCTCCTTAAAATTGGAAGAAAAGCCGAAGAACGACGCGTTACAAGTTATAAAACAGTAAGGAATCATTATAAGACAGGAGGACTTTGAATAGTGTGGGTATAAACTCTATTGTATCCATGTTTACGTCATATAATCAGCCACAAAGCGAGATAATGTTGTGGCGCTGAAGCAGCTAGCCGGCCAACAGAGTCCTGTCTGTAGTTTGGGAAATGCAGTGTCGTGTTTGGGGAAGGCTCGTAAATTAGTAAATCGTAGTGGTTAAAAGGCAGGAAACAAAGTGATAGTACGACCTTACGGCTTTCATATTTATTTTCTTTGGCAAAACAAAAAAACGCACGCATATATATTATATGCATGATAGTGACTCGTATTTTACAAAGGTTCAGTAGTGTATGGCAGCATTTTTAGACTTTTTCAACTCTGCGCATGTCTGTATAATGACCCACCTCTGACTCAGTGAAAAGAAAATATCCACATCACCGTTCACGACAAATATACCTCTATAGTAAAGGGTGAATTTGAATTTCAAAAAAGAAAAATATAACTTTGTGTGTAATGTCACGTGAGTCGGCACGGCTTTGATTATAGACTTGATAATATTACTTTCTTATAATATTCTTATAATATTAGAAAGTAGTATCACCGAGGTAGACCTGAGACATCAGCCGATTGGGTAACTAACAGGTGAAGTGCAAATCTATTTGTCATTTATAATACAAAACTTTCTGTTTCAACTCCTGCTTTTTAAGCTTTTCAGTTTCAGTTTTTTGTCTTGTTTGATAGTAATCTGAATATTATAAGAATAAAGTATAGTTTAGGAAAAAACACGTGTACTCGCATCCTTTTACTAGTAAGTGATTTGCCTTTATATTATCAGCACGTAATAAAGAAAAGTGAGCAAGAGACAAAGTGAATCTGGGAGTCATGTATTCATGGGAATCTTGAGATGAGACAGTCTATTCTTGAGTCAGCCCCAGTTCGGTTAGCGTGTAGGTCGCCCACGGGAAAAACCTGTCCGTCACGGGCCAACACAATGGGGGGGCTCACGTTCGTGCCTGTTGGCAGGGTGAAGTCCCTGTCCAGGCCTTTGCTTGTCTTTGGAAAGTAGGATTAAATGTGAACGGAAAAACAGAGTCTCCTCACAGGAAGGGTTTGGCCTGAGGATCAAACCCAAGTCCTTCGTATTGTTTGATTGCACAATATTGTGGTCAGAAATCATTACTGTTTTATTAAGGAGGTCCTGTGCTGCCCCTGAATTTCCCAAACTTATACTTTTGGTGACTGCATTTATATTTATTTTTTCCTCATAAACTCATGTCAGTTATATAGTAACTAAACCTCTGTGCCTTGTAAACGATAGAGTCAGCATAACAACACTTCTTGTCCATAATTTGGTGGAGTGGTCCACTTTTACAGTAACTTTTAGTGTTTTAAAACCAAGTATTTTATCTCAGATGTGCTCTTTGTGTTCTAGATTGTGATGGTTTTCAGACATGGACGACATAAACCTTCATTATCGCTTTCTAAACTGGAGGAGGCGAATACGAGAAATTCGTGAGGTGCGAGCTGTGCGTTACCGGGAGAGACTCAAAAGGATGTTGAGAGATGGTGACGTACTCAGGTAAAAGCAATGCCACTTTGGGAGATGGAAGAGAACCTTTCTACTGACTTGGCATCCGATTTCACTTAAGTGCTGATTATTACGGATCTCTTTGTAGGTATCATGGGAATTCAGATGAAGTTGGCTGCTTTGTGGCGGCCAGGCCACTGTCGAAAAGAAACCGCTATTTTGAAGTAAGTGCACCAACTTATGCGTTTACTTAAAACACCATTGTGATCATTTTTGTAACCTCGTTGATGTTTGTGTTTTCACTTGTCTTGCCTATTCTGCAACACAAATGTACGTGTCCATAACCATGATATCTTGGACTGATTGCCACATTAAAGAACTGAAATTGGGACCAGTTATATGGTTTTAATGGCCACAGTTGGGAACCATTCTTGGGTGTATTCACATCAGGCATCATTACATGGATTTCCCCTCTCGTCTGCTGTCATACACTCGCACTACACCTAAAGAAACGGGTGTGTGTACGCTTCAATTTGTCTCAGAAACTTGCTCTCTCTCTCTCTCTCTCTCTAATTGACTTTTGAAAGTGGTCACACACTGTCCTCTCACCTTACCTGTACATCTGTTAATTAGAAATTAACAAGCTCTTTGTAATAAAACTATTATTCCCATGCTCATACACTAATTCCCTGCCAACTGAACTGTACCTGTGCCCAGTTTTTCTCACACTCACACTGGCCAAACACACTGATCTTAGGGGGGTTAAACATGCTCAGGCACAGTGTGGATTGCCTGCTGTGAGTTCACTCTTACTGCTGTGAGTTCACTCTTACTGTTGATTAGTTGATGATGTAATGTTGGAAAGTCCAACAAGTTTTCTGCCACCCTCTTCATTTCTGAGCTGGACTGTTTTCACTGTTTGTTTTTTTTAAATCGAAGACTTCTGTAGACTTTCTCTAGTGTAGGCTTCTCTCAGTTATGACCTCTGTGAATGGAGGTTTTCACATTTCACAAAACCCAATTGGGTATTGAACAAAAAATGTTTTAAATGTATTTTTACTGCGCTGTCATTGTAGTTCAGCGTTAATAAAAAAGCCGTGGGCCTGTTTCCACATGACAGTGCAATTTTAGAAGACTTGAATATATTATGTGTTCATTCCGCAGTATGCAGTTTAATTGATGTGGAAGTTACGCTCAAGTAATGAAAGTGATTGTGCACAGAAGAACTTCTTTTGTGTGGTGTTCTGGAACAGAAATGGTGGTCCCGTCTGAGCCTGAAAGTAACTGAATCTGATCATCAGGCACTTGTAAAATATTCAGCAGTATATTTAAAACTCTCAATATTCATACAGAGTCTGTCTGTGTTCAGGCCACTCAATCAATATGAATGCACAAAAATA